CTCACTATTCAGTCGTAACTGTTCTAGCGAGACAAGCTTGCTAATCATTACACCACCACGCCGTTTCAATTTTAATATATACTAAAGTATATATACTATATATTACTATATAAAATACTAGCAGTAGAGCCCGGCGTTGCCCGGGATATAACAGTAAGAGATAGATCAAGTATCCACCATCATAAAGACTGAAAAATAAAATTGACAAAGATTATTGTTTAAGGTTGACGGACACGCATGTTTTAATTAGTTTTTTTTTTATTTTTTATTTTTTACGAATTGGTCAAACCCAGACTCAAACAAAAACATTGTTTTCAATCGTTATGAGTCTACAGATTGAATAGAATTTTGTTATAAATAATTGTCTTGTAAATGGAATTTTTAAAACATTCTGAATGTTAAAAATAAAGAAAAAGTGTGCAAGAAAATAAGAAACACTACCTGCCAAAAAAAAAAAAAAAGTGAAGTTTTGTTTTATCGGCTGAAAAATATAGGAAATCCGCTCCCCATATTTAAAGTAACCCACACACAAAACAAACCAATGTGAGTTGTCCCCTTCCATTTTCACGGTGTCTCTTAATCGTGTTTTCAAATTGATTTTGTGCAAAAACTATTATATTTTTCCCATTTTTGTGCTGTTAGAACCACCACAAGGTAATTTTATGTAGTCCTGTGAAGTTTTGTTGAAATTGGTTGAAAAATGTAGGAAATCCGATCCAATATATAAACATTACAGACACACACACACACACACACAATCTGCGTTTTATAATAAGTAAGATATTGTCGAAGAGGTATATTGAACTTGACTTGTATAAAAATACGTATTCTGATGGCACACTGAATGATTGGCATATAGTTAGCAAAAGGTTACTGAACCCTGATATGCACTATTTAAAAAAACGGGTCGTCTACTTAAATACGGGTATCAATTATAAATGTTAAAACTTCAGTCGAAGCACGAAGTGATCTTGTAAGAGATTTTTATTGCCTTCCTTCGCTGTCATAAAATTGGGGTTTGAGGTCAGATTTCGTAAAAAAATGTCTACAAAATGATATAAGGTTATAAGATTAAAAGTACTAACAGAAATACAATTTTCGCAGTAGTTACTCTCTTATTAACGTAATAGAATTTCATAGTCTAATGCAGGGGTGAGAAACCTACTACACGCGTCCCGCACGTGACACGCCAAGTAATTTCCAATGGTACGTAGCCGCGAATGACATCAGTCCAAACCAATAACTACTACAACGCAAAGATATTTTGCTGTTTCAATTTTAATATATACTAAAGTATATATACTATATATTACTATATAAAATATATTGTAGAACAGGTATATTGACCTTGACTTGTATAAAAAACACGTATGCTGTTGGCACACGGAATGATTGTAAGTCGTCACATAGCAAAAGGTTATCGAAGAGATTAAGACGTTGGCTTGTGAATTTGGTGACAGAGCAAAAAATTCCATGAAAGAACTTGAGTGACTTTAGATTTTGGAAGATCGTAGTTGATATGGATGAGTGGTAAAAGATATCGTCTTTGGATGAGAAATCGGAGAGCCGAGTTCGAATTCCAGTCAGGTTCGTCACCATCACTTACGCGCAAACACCTTTATGAAATGTATGAATCTATCCTCCCACCCCAGATATGGATTGAATAGCAGGACAGACTGGGTCCTATAGACTTGGCTGGCAACCCGTCTATGGTAGAAAGAAACGTCAATCTACTGAGAGAGAATCTTCTGCCTAGTCAGTCATGAATCGAAAGAAACATGGTCGCCCAATCGTGTATCACACAACTGACTGAATGATCCATTTGTTAAATAATAGTTATTTTTGGTGGAGGAATTGTATCTCAGCTGCAACTTCCGGGGGTTGACCTTCGAGTTCAGATGCAAGCCAAAATAAGGAAGTAAATTTTGATTCCCTGAGCCAGCGTGGGAAAGGAGATAGGAGAAAGATTGCAGAGACTCGAGTCTTAAGTGTTAATGTAGACGTGTTTTCTTTCGTGTCTGAAACGGCTCCCCTCTCTGAAATTTTTCTCCTTTCCCACGCTGGCTCAGCCAATCAAAATCGACTTTCAGTGAGGGAGAACGACCTCCACTGGATAGATAGAACATGTCGACATCAACTTTAACAAAATAGTTATGTTAAAATTCCCTGTGTTGAAGTACTTTTATCTCTGGACTCAAAATAACTAGCAATCACCGGTCCTGAGAGAATTCAACTTTATTATGGAATTGACGCCCAAACCTCCCAGAGCTCACATTGCATTCTTATTAATAATTTTCAATAAAAAGCGGTTTTATCTTGTCTGGAACAGATTAATTAATAGAATATGTTCAAAAATATGTGTCTGCTATGCTCTGAATCCAATTTGTACATTTTACAATATCTTAATATGGCACGGTGGAGTAATGGATAGCGGCTCGGATTGAGGAATCGGAGAGCCGAGTTCAAATTCCAGGCGAATCCATTACATTCATTTACGTGATAATACCCTTTTGAAAGATATGAATCCTCTTCTTCTTCCAGCTATGAGTAAATAGCAGGACAGACCGAGTTCTATAGCCTTGGATAGCAACTGGTCTACCGCAGAGAGAAATGGCCACATACTGCGGGAAAAAAAACATCTGTACGTCAGTCATGTATCGAAAGATACATGATCGCCTACGCGTGTATCACGCATGGCACTTAACTGACTGAATTTAAATAGATTTTTAAAGTTTTTCTTCACAAACACTGTAAGGTGAGGGTATTTTTTAAAGCTTTTCACCCCAAGTAAGGCAAGAGTGTCACTAGCACACGTGGGGTTACAGAGAGTGGGAGCAAGACTAAAGAGGTATGATAGAGGAAAAGGATGAAGAGAAGGATGGGGAATAGATCAAGGCATCTGGAGATGTCGATTGAGATTGCATTTGAATATTTGGAGATTGTAGCTATCAGGAAAGCAAGTAAGAAGAAGGGAGTTCCACAGAAGGGAAGTGCGAGACATGAAGCTATTGGGGTAAAACAGAAAGCTACGTTTAACCGCTTCGACAGTGAAAGGGTGGGACTGAGATGCCGACCTCGTAGCACGTTTAAATTCATGCAGTTTGGGAACTAGCGAAAGTAGCTCGTCGGAGCAGTTACCGTGAAAGTATTTGTAGAAAAGACAGAGGGAAACGACGGCACGTCTGTGAGAGAGCGACTGTAAATGAGATGCCAGATCAGGGCCAACCACATTGCATATCAGTCTCTGGATTTTGTCGAGGACCTTATGATGAACAGCGAGGGCTCCAGACCATATATGACAGCAATATTCCATGCAAGGACGAATGGTTGATTTATAGATTTGAAGGATGGACTCGGGCGAGAAAAAAACTTTCTGTCACGACACAGAGAACCAAGTTTCCTTGCGGTAGATGAAGCTATTGATTCAATGTAATTGCTCCATCTCAGATCAGCGGAGAGTGTGTGACCAAGTTTGTTACTGAGCACTATTTTACTATACACTGTAAGCCCATTTCATGACAGAATGGACGCAACTAATCCATTTACTAGTAAGAAATATATTTGACTTAAGGGCGTTAGTGCAGATGAGAATTTAACAGAGTAGTTCGAAATTTGAACTCAACTCGCGAATTCCACTTTCGGCGTCAATAACCGTTACGAAGCCCGCAATTCCATTTTTAAATTCTAATCTTTTTTTTTCTATTTTTAAATTCATGAAAATGAAAACCTGTGAAAATGAAATGAATTAGGCAAAATCATTTCAGACTTTCATGAAAAAGTTCAATTTTATTATATGGTTATTAAACAAAATTTCTGAAACGAAAAGTTATAATTATTTACACTACTTACATGCTAATTAGTGCTCTCATATTTATTGTTATCATGTTTCGGCCGTTGTGACTTGCGGCCTTCATCAGGTGTGTATCGATTCGGGTAACGTACAGGGAATTCCGAACTGAAGCCTCTATTTAATCTACGGGAGTAGACTATTCTCGTTTCAGTGTGTAGCTAACACAGATCGACATTCACCTTAGCCTAACGTTCGTTAGTGAAGATGTTAACAGTAATTGAGAGTTCAATTCCTGATCCGGGAATGCGTACCCGACTACGATTGGCGGGCAATAACTGATCAATACTGAAATAAGAACGAGACAAAATAGCCTCATGATTGATAGGCGACCACTATGTTTCAGTTTATCGTTAGTCAAATTGTGCCGCGCCAGGAAATTTTTCTCCCCGGAATCGATCCTCCAGATCTACAAATCAAGAATTCGCCCTTGCATGGAGTATTGCTGCCATATATGGTCTGGAGCCCCTTCTGTTTGCCTCGGGGTTCTTGATAAGATCCAGAGGCGGATATGCAATATAATTGGCCCTGTTCTGGCATCTCGTCTACAGTCGCTCTTTCACAGACGCGCTGTCGCCTCTCTCTGTCTGTTTTACAAATACTTTCATGGCAATTGCTCCGAGGAGCTGCATTCGCTGGTTCCCAGACATGAGTTCAAGCACCCTACGAGGCTGGCATCCCGCTCTCACCCTTTCACTGTCGAAACTCCTAAATGTAGCCGTCTCTTCTACTCCAATAGCTTCATGTCTCGCACCTCTCGCCTGTGGAACTCCCTTCCCTATTCCAGTTTCCCTGAGAGCTATAATCTCCAGCTATTCAAATGTAATGTCAATCGACATCTCCAGTTGCCTTGATCTATCCACTACCATTCTCCTCATCCTTTCTTCTATCACTCCTATCTGAATTTTTCTCCAAATTTTCTGTAACCCCTTGCGTCCTAGTGGCTTCTCGCCTTGCTTGGGGTGAAACGCTTAAAAAAAAAAAAAAAAAAAAAAAAACTGAACAAATGTGTAATTAGCGGTCCTTGAAGAAGAAAAAGTTGGTAAATAAAAATTAGAAATAAATAATTTAATAAAAACAGTTGAATTTTGTTCCATTCATCTTTCTACATAAGATAGAGTTGCAGGAAAATTAAACCATTCAACAACATACCATGAACCACATTTTCTCCCGCTTATACACCGTATATACTCGAGAACAGATCGCACTTTTTTGCACTTTTTTTCACCAATATTTCGATAAAAATCAGGAGTATTCGACATCATAGAGAATCTGAAGTAGACTGTTATGTAACAGTAGCATAAGCTAGAGCAAGGGAGAAAAAGAATTTTTCGCGATATCTCGATTTTACGCAAGCGCCCCTTCCAACAGTACCGCGTCACACATCGAATAAAAACGATCGATCTGCACTGTTGATAAATACCATTTATTATCTGTTCTCTGACGAAATAGTATCATTTTCAAATGATTTTAGGACTGAAGAGATTATCAGTATCCACATTTTCATTTAAACAGAGCAGACCCGCATTCGATATTAAATACCACGCAATTAAAACACTTTTCTCGTGTTGCAATATATGTAACCATTTTTTTTAAATGGTGGGGTAAAACGTTGTAATATTACGTGCCAATAGGAATATAGAACGGACAAACACGGTGGGTAAATAATAACAGGTTTAATGTAGAAACCAGTACAACAAGCCAGGAAGAAATAGTTATGCGCACGGTCGTCGCAAGTCAGTACAGCTGTGCGCGTGCTGACGTCGGAAGGTCGCTAGAACAGATCCCAGCGCGACGATATTTAGCAACTGCCCCACGCAGTCACATGGCCGAATTTAATGTGGGGTTTCCCGTAGACTCGGACAAAAAATCCCCATAAACGGGATCGGGTCTGTCTACCTCCCCGGACGAGACTCTGCCCTTCAGCAGAGCCTCGTCCGAGTTCCTCTCTGCCCGAAGGCAGAGAGTTCGACCAGTTTCCTGTCCGCTGTCCTAACGGATACTCAAAGGTGGTTACCACCTATAGTGTCGCCACACATGGGGGTGGCAGGTTATTCCATTACATCAAACGTTAAATCCAGTTCCGACCAAGAGTTAACTCCTGTGCCAATTTACTAGGTGGTGTTCCACCTAGACAGAAATAAAAAAGAAAATAGTAGAAAAAACATAGTCTCAACCATACTGAAAGAAATCGATTCCCAAAGACGTGTGTAACGCCGTATATTCCATAATAAGGCAGCTACCGCATATTATTCAAGGATAGATTGCACTTTTTTTTCACTAAAATTTTGGACCTATCTACTCGACATCATAGAGGATCTGAAGTAGACTGTGACGTATCAGTTGTCCGGGTGAGCTAGAACCAGGAAGAAAATTAATTTTTCGCGACATTTCGGTTTTACGCAAGCGCCTCTTCCGACAGGACCGCGTCACACATCGAATAAAACCGCTCGATCTGCAGTACTCATATTTACAACTAGCAGTAGAGCCCGGCGGTGTAACAGTAAGAGATAGATCAAGTATCGACCATCATAAAGACTGAAAAATAAAATTGACAAAGATTATTGTTTAAGGTTGACTGACACGCATGTCTTAATTAGTTTTTTTTTGTTCCGTTTTTTTTTTTTTTTTTTTTTTGAATTGGTCAAACCCATACTTGTTTTCAATCGTTATGAGTCTACCGATTGAATAGAATTTTATTATGAACAATTGTCTTGTAAATGGAATTTTTAAAGCATTCTGAATGTAAAAATAAAGAAAAAAAAATGCAAGACAATAAGAAACACTACCTGCCAAAAAAAAAAGTGAAGTTTTGTTGAAATCGGTTGAAAAATGTAGGAAATCCGATCCCATATATAAATGAATACACACACACACACACAAACAACCTGGGTTTTATAATAAGTATAACTCGATATGAGTTGTCCCCCTTTCATTCTCGTGATGCCTCTTAATCATGTTTTCAAATTGATTTTGTGCAAAAACAATTGTGTTTTTTCCAATTTTGGGCGCTGTCAGAACCACCGCAAGGTAATTTTACGTAGTCCTGTGAAGTTTTGTTGGAATCGGTTGAAAAATGTAGGAAACCCGATCCAATTTATAAACGTAAAGACACACACACACACACACAATCTGCATTTTATAATAAGTAAGATTTATTATCTGCTTTCCAACGAAAGACTCATTTTCAAGTGATTTTAGGACTGAAGCGATTACCGGATGGCTCTGAAGACGACGTGATGTATAAGGATTTGATTAGTTCAAGCACGTAAATGATAAACAACAAGGATGGAGATGAACACGCCATAACTGAACGACTACAATGACAAGGCCACAGATGAGAACACAGAAACTGATGTAGAAATGAAAAGAATGTTTAACAGTGATGATGGCGAAGAAGAATTTTGAGATTTCAATCCTGATAAAGTTTACAGATCGTGACAGCTATTAGGAAGATGTGATTAAATATATTTCAATGTTTAAAGAAAATTATTCAGTATTATTATTGTTTGGGCAATAAGCATTATAACATAGCACAAATAGTTATATTATGGAAAAATAAGTGAAATTACCAGACAATACAATTCAAGTACCAAGTATCCCACTAATTAATTTATATAATGAATTATAATCTTTATATAATTTCCTTTTATATATATATATATATATATATATATATATATATATATAAAACAGCATAATCACATATTAGGATTTTGTTTGTTTTTTTCAGTATATTTTTTATATATATATATATATATATATATATATATATATATATATATATATATATAGCCTTCCTTTATATATCCTTTTCGGTTTCTTATTCAATTTTTACGGTAGATTAAAGTGACGCTAAATTACATCATTTGATCCCGATTTCTGCTAGTTTTACTGATTAAATATACTTTAATGTTTTTAAAAAATATTCAGTATTATTATTGTTTATGAAATAAGCATTATAACATATCACCAATTTCTGTATTGTAGAAAAAGGAATTTTCGATAATATACGCATTTTTTACGTATTTATGGTTATTTTTTTAACTTTTGTCGAAAACAACATTCTTGTATATGGAGTTATGTATATTAATGTGTATTTAGGCAGAAGTTTTCTGTATATTGAAGCAGCATATTTTCATTCAAACAGGTTTGGTTAAATAATTTAGACACATGTTGATTTGTTTTCGTTGTGATCCTTTCAAGTTCACGAACTAATTTCTTGGTTGCCTTAGAAAATTGATTAAGAAAAATACCAACATTTTCTTTCAAATAGTTTTTATTTTCCCAAGTACTTTCAATCTCATCTGTGACAAGCTTAAGGGGATTAAGTTGTCTGGGAGTATGTATATGTGTTTCTGTTAATTCAAAACATTTCAACTGTTCGTTTTTTTTCTGCCTATGCAGCGTTCTAGATTTCAAAGTTCAAAATTCGAGTTTTTTTTTTTTTTTTTTTTTTCAAATTTTTTTTGAATTTTTAGGTCTGATGAATTGGATCGTATTTACGATTCCAATGGAATAAATTATGACCATGGAATATTAGTGTTTAAGCCTTTTTATTATATATATATATATATGTATATATATTATGCGTTTATTTTTTATGCTTATACGTTCTTTTTATAGATACAAATATTTAAGTAAATGCTCTGTTTATAATAAACAGTATTAACAACATTTACCGGCCTGAATGTCCGAGAAATTTTTATAGAAAATATGCGTCCTCCGACGGGAATCGAACCTGTATCCTATACGGAACCGTCATATAGCCTGACGTGCCTTAACCGTTTCGGCCACAGAGGTGCGTTCGGTTAGCAAGGTCGATTTTACTGTTTTTAAACATAATATCCGACAATTATATTTTAAGACATTTATTAAGATAAATATATATATATATATATATTTTTATATATATATATATATATATGTGTGTGTGTGTGTGTGTGTGTGTGTGTGTGTCGGTGTGTGTCGGTGTGTGTGTGTGTGTAACACCGCGTGGTTATCTACATATATTTACTATTTATTTCTATATTTTAGATTCAAAGACTTCAAAGACTATATAAATATAGACTTTCTAAAACTATTAAAGACAAAATGCAATGGTGATTTTTGCAGTATATATTCAGGTATATATTTACATAAAATTTACACACACACACATATATATATATATATATATATATATATATATATATAGTTATTGTTTCTAGAAGTGTTTTTTTTCGATTTGGGGATAAAATTCTGTTGTTTTAAGCGTCGTTTAAATATGGCACAAGGTCGAATGTATGGGGCGCCCAGGAAGGATCGAATTCATTATTCAACCGTAATTGTTCTAACGGGAGAGGCTCGTTAACCATTACACCTCGTCGTAGTGTCTGATGATTTCATAAGCGTAGCTTAGGTGTGGCACAAGGCCGAAAGTATTGAGCATGCAGTGAGAATCGAACTCACTAGTCAGCCGTAATTGTTCTAACGAGAAAAACTCGCTAACCATAATACCATGTCGAAGTTCATGCGGGTATTGGAGAAGTCCAGAAAACAAAGATACAACATCCACAAATCCCCAAAACTAATCACCAACGATAGAACTTCTAACAACACAAAATTCAGAAACTCATAGCCACTACAAAACTAACTCTCTCTCTCTCTCTCTCTCTCTATATATATATATATATATATATATATATATATATATTTAGTTTGTGGGTTTCACGCTTTTGCTGATCATCAGACAAACTGATTAATTTTTTAAAATTTTGGATTTATATAGATTGTGTGTATTGGTGTTATTGTGGAAGTGGTGGGGGAAACTTCGTCGTTTTGTCATTCATCGTACTAACGCAAACATCGATGTATGCAGAGGCATATACATACTTGGTCGTCCGTCGGGACTCATACATATATAAACATATGTGGGCAGTTTCGGATATGACATATGTATGTATACGGGTGGTGTTGTGTCTATACATACGCATTTCTATGTTGAAATTCAAAGATTGGGAGTGTAGCGAAAATTTTCTCGTGAATTTCTCGTGAATGTATACATGTCATATTTTTATTTTTCCCGTGAATAAATTTCTTCGCATGTGTGTGTATACGTGTGGTGTGGATAGATGTGAGTTTGTGTATTGTGCATATAATATATAAATAATTATACATATATATATTTATTTATATATGTATAATTATTTATATATTGTATATATATATATATATATATATATATATATATATATATATATATATATATATATATATATAGTTTATACGTTATTTATATGTATACAATTGATGCTCTGTTTTTTGTTTTTTTTTAATTAGATTACATTTACTGGCCTGAAAGTCTGAGAAATCTCGTAGAAAATATTTGATCTCCGACAGGTATCGAACTCGTAACCCTTAACGGGCACTATCATTTGACCTGATGTGCTGTTAACCATTCTGCCACAATGAAGCGTCTCTTTAGCAAGGCCCGAATTTCTGTTTATAAACAATCTTCGACGATTTTTTTTCTCGATCAATCATGTCTACTCACGAAACGTATTTTAACGTAAGCAATGACAACATATTTAATTTTTTAATTTCTCAATATTTTTTATTGTTCAAAACACACACACACACTAAATATATATATATATATATATATATATATATATATATATATATATATTAAAAAGTCCAACAATTATTTAAATATATTTACTGATTATACGTTATTTTTATAGATGTAATTTATTTAAGTAAATGCTCTTTTTTAATTGAACATTATTAATTAAATATAAGTGACCTGAATGTTCAAGAAATTTAGTAGAAAATATGTGTTCTCCGACAGGAATCGAATCTGTACGGAAAACTGTCATCTGACCTGACGTGCTGTGCCATATATATATATATATATATATATATATATATATATATATATATATATATATAAAAAAATATAGTTTTAAGGTGTGCTATATTTATAGGATAAAGTGCTCAATATCAAAGATAGAGCGTATGTAAATATATATATATATATATATATATATATATATATATATATATATGTGTGTGTGTGTGTGTGTGTGTGTGTGAAGAAATATATTTTAAGGTGTGCTATATTTATGGTATAAAGTGGTCATTATCAGAGATAGAGTGTATGTAAGTATATATATATATATCTTTTTCTCCATTTCAGTTTACTAGAAATCACGTGAAAGAAGCCGAGGACACCCCAGGACGAATCGTAGTAATTGTCTGTGACGGTTCGCAAGGCTCGTCAGGCAGACTGCTTGGCATAAGTGATGAATGCATACAACATAGTTGCAATACGTATGGAGCCATTGCTACGCTGGATCGAAACAACGAAAAGCAAGAGGTAATTTTTCCTTTTTTTCGTTCGCACCCTAATCATTATTGAACAAACAAAAAAAATATCCCATAGACCTCGATGTGCTATGCTTACCAATCATACGAGAGACGGTCAAAAAATAACGCCTCTTCGATTTTAATTTAAAAACATATAGATTAGACACTATTCTTACGAGCTTTTAAACCAAAAATAATCTCAGATGTTACGTTTTCCTTTCCCATCCATAGACCTTTTTTAAAAGTTCCATTATTAACGTAAATTTCTGCGTCAGGTCGACCTCAAGATTTTTAGCTGAAAATTCGGAGATTTACCTATATATAACTTCATATATTCAAGTATCCTTTAAAATAAAATGCAATTGTTACACAGGGATTATGCTTTTACGGTATACGGTGGAGTAATGGATGTAATGTTTCTCAAGAATCCGCCTCGTACATGCATAAATCTACCATTTGTCCGTGCATTGAATACTGTTGCCACATCTGGTCTGATGCTCCTACATGGATAGCGGATCGGTATGAGGATTCGGAGAGCCGAGTTCGAATTCCAGTCGAATCCATTACATTCACTTACGTGCTAATACCCTTGGAAAAAGTATGAAACCTCTTCTTCTGCCTCCAGCTATGGGTAAATGGCAGGACAGACTGGGATGCCTTTTATGGCAACTGCTCTACCGCAGAAAATAAAGAGTTCCTTTCGACATTCCAACCGCCTGAAGAAACGTTGTAATAAATATGGCGACAAAGATGAGGACAATAGTCCGAATAATGTAAATAGTGTACATAATATCACATCTCAGAAATATAGACAGATACTGAAGGGCCGAAACGTTGTAATAAATATGGCGACAAAGATGAAGACAATAGTCCGAATAATGTAAATAGTGTACATAATACCTCATCTCAGAAATATAGACAGATACTGAAAGGCCGAAACGTTGTAATAAATATGGCGACAAAGATGAGGACAATAGTCTGAATAATGTAAATAGTGTACATAATACCTCATCTCAGAAATATAGACAGATACTGAAAGGCCGAAACGTTGTAATAAATATGGCGACAAAGATGAGGACAATAGTCCGAATAATGTAAATAGTATACATAATACGTCATCTCAGAAATATAAACAGATACTGAAGGGCCGAAACGTTGTAATAAATATGGCGACAAAGAGGAGGACAATAGTCCGAATAATGTAAATAGTGTACATAATACCTCATCTCAGAAATATAGACACATACTGAAGGGCCGAAACGTTGTAATAAATATGGCGACAAAGATGAGGACAATAGTCTGAATAATGTAAATAGTGTACATAATACCTCATCTCAGAAATATAGACAGATACTGAAAGGCCGAAACGTTGTAATAAATATGGCGACAAAGATGAGGGACAATAGTCCGAATAATGTAAATAGTATACATAATACGTCATCTCAAAATATAAACAGATACTGAAGGGCCGAAACGTTGTAATAAATATGGCGACAAAGAGGAGGACAATAGTCCGAATAATGTAAATAGTGTACATAATACCTCATCTCAGAAATATAGACAGATACTGAAGGGCCGAAACGTTGTAATAAATATGGCGACAAAGATGAGGACAATAGTCCGAATAATGTAAATAGTGTACATAATACCTCATCTCAGAAATATAGACAGATACTGAAAGGCCGAAACGTTGTAATAAATATGGCGACAAAGATGAGGACAATAGTCCGAATAATGTAAATAGTATACATAATACGTCATCTCAGAAATATAGACAGATTCTGAAGGGCCGAAACGTTGTAATAAATATGGCGACAAAAGGAGGACAATAGTCCGAATAATGTAAATAGTGTACATAATACCTCATCTCAGAAATATAGACAGATACTGAAGGGCCGAAACGTTGTAATAAATATGGCGACAAAGATGAGGACAATAGTCCGAATAATCTAAAATACCTCATCTCAGAAATATAGACAGATACTGGTATTTTATCGGTTACTCTCGACCAGTCTGTGGGTTTACGGTCCCGAATCATCACCCACCACGCGAATACTACATTCCTCTGCAATGTCTTCGAGAGACTACCGCCTCTCCTCTTAGGTGGCTGTTTATATGTCTGCCTGCCCAACGTTTTCTTCTATCATATCAGATGTAGCCTTGCTTAAAGATGTTCAGCTCTTGTGGTGACTACTGTCAACGGGTAAATCGAGAATCAAGCTTCCTTCAAAACCCTATTCCGGCATAATACCAGAACTCCTCAGTGCCTTTTGCCACCTTCCAAGAAATTAAATATTTTCGTTTTTCACGAAGAGAATTCTTTTGATAACCGAAATAAATATTACTCAAAGTGTGCAATATGCGCTAAAAATGATGGGTAATGAACACCTTTCAGTCAAACTTCTGTAAAAATTTGTTTTCTTTACGTGCCAAAAATGTGCAATTTAGCATTAAGCTGATGGAATATCACATCGTGATACTTTAATTATATTTCGTGATGAAGCCGTTTGAAAAAAATGATGGTTATTTTCGCAATTATCAAAATTAGAATCAATAAATAAAAGTACTCAGATTTTGAAAATCACACTCAAATGCAGAATTACATGTCAGCTGTCATGAACACAGTCAATCTTTTTTGAATGGATTTGTTTAAATTAGAGACTTCTAAGGAAACGGAAAGAACTCCTGGACAAGAAGATGGGACTTAATTTGTTAGATGAGAGAATGTGTGGTTGTCAGCAAAAAAGACAGCCCAAAATGAGAGTTACATATTGGGGGTGTCAACTCTTTAGATAGTGTAGTAACAGACGACTCAAAATGCATTTGTTGTTGATTTTGTTTAACAGCATATCAACCTCTATCTGCAATACAATCGATCCTAACCAGGAATCTCGTCTCCAGTCACATTCTCACTGATGTGACGTGTCTTCCTTCTGTCTGTTCTACAATTTTTTTCATGGCAACTGCAAGGATGAGCTTTTTTCCTGGTCTCCCGTATATATGAACTTAAGGGTGGTACTAGATTGCCAACTAGGTCTCACCGTTTTACTGTTTAACTAGCTAGATACAGTCACCACTTCTACGCTAAGAGTTTTTGTTTTACTCGCACTTCCCATCTGAGGAACTCCCTTCCGATTTCTTGCTTCCTTGATAACTACAATCTTTAAAAATTTAAATGCAATATCAATCGCCTTCTTCTGTCTTCTTGAACCATGTTTCTTTTTTGCCCTTTCCTCAATCCTTGGCATGTTCTAGTTGCACTGTCATATTGCTTCGGGTTAAACGATTAAAAATAATGTTTTTGCTGGTCGACAGACCCGCGTGTGAATGTCCCTTGACGTACCGAATAGAAAACGTCAACAGGGTTCAGCAAAGCGTATTCACCGCTGGCAGATTATTTCTGATATGGCCGGCAGTTGATCGTTTAATTTGCTTCCGTTCGATGCTTTTGCTGTAAGATGTTCAACACAGCTGCGTATCTCATCCAACTTTGACTCAACTTCGACGTGAAAGAAGCTGTATTCATTTTAGTCTTATTGCTCTGTCTCTTAAACCCTGTTCTGCCTTCTTTTTACAGTAGCTTCTTCTTCTTCTTCTTCTTCTTCTTCTATGTGCCATGTCCTTTCAGGACATTAGCGATCATGGCTCTCCACAATTTCCTGTCTTTCGTAACTCTTAATAATTTTTATCTTTTTGTTATCTCTCCTAAACTCTGATCTGCCATCCATTTACACTAACTTATTCTTCTTCGTCATCTATGTGCCATGTCCCTTCAGGCCATTAGCGATCATGGCTCTCCACAATGTCCTCTCTTTCGTAACTGTTAATAATTTCTGTCTTTTTTATATCTATCCAAAACCCTGATCTGCCATCCATTTACACAAGAATATTCTTCTTCATCTATGTGTCATGTCCCTTCAGGACATTAGCGATCATGGCTCTCCACAATTTCCTGTCTTTCCTAACGGTTAATAAGTAGGTTATGGATATGTTGATGTTCTAAGCGTATCTCTGCAAGCATCAAATTCTCCAAGCCCTCTTTCCTCATTATGTACCTATACATTTCAACTATCTCTTCCCGATGTTAAGTATAAGTTTGCTTTTTTTGTTTCGATAGTATCTAAAAGTTGGTTGTTGGTCACATATTCGGTTCATGGTATTCTCAGCATCCTTCTGTAGAACCATATTTCTGTTGCTTCAAGTTTCTTCTTTATCAGTAAGGAGATTTTCTAGCATTCATTCATTCTTCTTCTCTGTGTTGTGTCAATTCCGGACGCGGCCTGTCATGACTCTCCACACATTCCTGTCATTTGTATTTGATATTATTACAACTAATTACTACGACTGAAATTCAAGGATTTTTATGATACTATTCTGATTGTCTGCTTTTTTTCCTTTTGTCTGCAGGTTCCAATGTCTGAAAAACGGATCCATCATCTGACCTTTGACCTGACATCTTACGGCGCCGATTCTCTTGACGAGAAATACACGCCGGGTTTTAGCATGAAACTGTTTGGAAGCAGTCGCCATCGCTACATGACTCTCGTGACTCCAAAATGTGAATCCAAATGTGTTAAGGCGTTACGAGTTATTCTTGATCGATCGGTAAGAGACAATGAAATGTTGTATACATGAAGACACACAGACCCATGCACACATACGCATACAGATCCATAAACACACACACACAGAGAACCATAAACGCATACACACATAGACTCATAAATGAATACACACATAAAACCATGAACACATATACACCTTGAAGCATAAACACACACACAGGTAGAACCATAATTACATACATAGACCCATAAATGCATACACACATAAAACCATGAACACATATAGACCTTGAAGCATTAACACACACACACACACATAGAACCATAATCACATACAAACATAGATCCATAAATGAATACACACATAAAATCATAAACGCATGCACACCTTGAACGATAAACACATATACACTTAGATCCATAAACGCATAAACACATAGACCCATAAATGAATACACACATAAAACCATGAACACATATACACCTTGAACCATAAACACATACACACATAGAACCATAAACGCATACACACACAGACCCATAAATGCATACACACATGAAAGTGTAAGCATAAACATACACATACCCAGTGTTATCTTTCTCTGAGACTATTTTAATTATTATTCCATTTCATTCATATATATATTTTTTAATAAAATGTCTAATTCCCCACCACCCCATTTAAAATACATCTTTTTCTTAAAGATGCAGTATCATCTTGCCGTGAATAGGACCGAACTGGTCTTATTACAATTCTGCGTCTCTATTTCTTCCTTAGTTAGCACGTACACTAATTCCTGCCAATGCTTAATAAATAATGGACTATTCCGTTTTGATCAATAGAGAAGGCATGTCAGAGACGCTAATTCGTTTCAGTGGAAAAATGAAAGAAAAAAGAAAGAAAAAAGAAAGAAAGAAAGAAGTGTTTAAAGTATTCTGCAAATACCACATAAATAATGGACTATTCCGTTTTGATCAATAGAGAAGGCATATCAGAGACGCTAATTCGTTTCAGTGGAAAAATGAAAGAAAAAAGAAAGAAAAAAGAAAGAAAGAAGTGTTTAAAGTATTCTGCAAATACCACATAAATAATGGACTATTCCGTTTTGATCAATAGAGAAGGCATGTCAGAGACGCTAATTCGTTTCAGTGGAAAAATGAAAGAAAAAAGAAAGAAAGAAAGAAAGAAAGAAAGAATGAGAGAAAGATGGAAAGAAAGAAAGAATGAACGAAAGAAAGAAGGAAATAAAGAAAGACGAGAGAAAAGAAAAAAGGAAAGAAAAATGAAGGAAATAACGAAAGAAGGAAAAAAGAAAGAATGAGAGAAAGAAAGAAGGAAAGAAAGAAAAAAGAAAGAAAGAATGAAAGAAAGAAAGAAAGAAAGAAGGTAAGAAAGAAGGAGAGAAAGAAGAATAGAAAGAAAGAAAGAATCAATGAAAAAAAAGAAGGTAAGAAAGAAAGAACATAAAGAAAGAAAGCATGAAAGAAAGAAAGAACATGTGGCCTAGCGTTGCCATGTTGCAAAACCACTTTGTCGCGGCTCTTCTCGTATGGCGGTCGTTTTTTTCTTCCATCATCGGCTCAAACGCATCAGTTGTAGTCGATAGCGATTTCCCGTGATGGTTTCGTTCAACATGAGCAGCTCATAATAAACTATACCCAGTTGACGCCACCAAATGCAGAGCAGAAGTTTCGAACCATGGATATTCGGCGTTGCTACCGATTTTGATGCATGGCTGGTTTTAACCTACGGTCTTTTACGCTTAGGGTTATCGTAGTGTATCTAATTTTCATCGCCGGTCACGATACGATCATCTTCAAACTTTTCTGGTGCGCCAAAGCATTCTTTATCTTTAACATCAAAACCATTATTTTTGAAGCGTCTAAACTAATCTCTGCCTGTTTTTCCCAAAAGAGCATGGTCGCCGTAAGTCTCGACAAGAATTCTCTGTGCTCCAGCTGCTGATTTCTTTTGAATAAAGTAGTGCAGTAAAATTCCCCGCAAATACACTTTGTTTGGCACGAAATCAAACATGTTTAACGCTATGAAAAACAAAGTTATTTACACTTCGGAGAAATGGCATACAATGAATTTCAAGCTTGTTTCTAGTAGTTCCTTACAGATGTGTTACCATCTGAAACTACCCGCATGCGGTTCTGGGAACGCCATCTGTTGGAAAACAGTCAGAACTTATTCAAGGTCCTAATAGTTTGATCAAATTCTTGGCAATATTTCTCGGCTATGATTGTTTCACCAGAACCCAGAAAGGCGTGGTGACTCAATCCAGCTTTAGTTCACCAGTCACCCTAACATTACTAACATTTTTCTCGAAACAATTGAATTATCTCTCCTCTATGGTACATAGATTTTATGCATTTACTAGATTGGCGGCAAGGTCTCATCATTTTACAGTTGAAATGACTAGATGTAATCGTAAGTTCTATACTAACAGTTTCTTAATCTGATAAGTTATGTTCATGGTAATTGTTTTGATGAGCTTTCCTCTTTGGTACCTAGACTTCATGAATTTAAGAGCAGTACTAGATTAGCAGCTAGGTCTCATCATTTTACAGTTGAAATGGCTAGATGTAACCGTAAGTTCTATGTTAACAGTTTCTTAATCTGATAAGTATGTTCATGGTAATTGTTTTTGATGAGCTCTTGTTTGGTACCTGAACTTTATGAATTTAAGAAATTGGCTAGGTCTCATCATTTTTGCAGTTGAAATGGCTAAGTTCCGTAAGTTCTATGTTAACAGTTTCTTAATCTGATAAGTATGTTCATGGTAATTGTTTTGATGAGCTATCTTGTTTGGTACCTAGACTTTATGAATTTAAGAGCAGTACTAGATTGGCAGCTAGGTCTCATCATTTTGCAGTTGAAATGGCTAGATGTAACCGTAAGTTCTATGTTAACAGTTTCTTAATCTGATAAGTATGTTCATGGTAATTGTTTTGATGAGCTATCTTGTTTGGTACCTAGACTTTATGAATTTAAGAGCAGTACTAGATTGGCAGCTAGGTCTCATCATTTTACAGTTGAAATGGCTAGATGTAACCGTAAGTTCTATGTTAACAGTTTCTTAATCTGATAAGTATGTTCATGGTAATTGTTTTGATGAGCTTTCCTCTTTGGTACCTAGACTTTATGAATTTAAGTTCAGTACTAGATTGGCAGCTAGGTCTCATCATTTTACAGTTGAAATGGCTAGATGTAACCGTAAGTGCTATGTTAACAGTTTCTTAATCTGATAAGTATGTTCATGGTAATTGTTTCGATGAGCTTTCCTCTTTGGTACCTAGACTTTATGAATTTAAGAGCAGTACTAGATTGGCAGCTAGGTCTCATCATTTTGCAGTTGAAATGGCTAGATATAACCGTAAGTTCTATGCAAGCGTTTTCTCGCATTTCCTGCCAGTGGAAATTTCTTACGGTCTCTTGCTTTCCAGTCTATTATGATCTTCAAAACTTTAAATGCAATGTCAATTGTTATCCTCTGTTTTCTTAATTCTTGTTCATTTATTGTCATCTCTACGTAAGAGTAGTTTTTCTTCTATTCATGAACACTCATTAATCCCTTGCGTCCTAGTGGCTTTATTGCCTTGCTTGGGGGAAAATTTAAATGCAATGTCAATCTTCTGCCTTCTTAATTGCTGTTCTTTCATTTTTGTAATAATATTTTTCTTATATTCTTTCAGCCTCAGACCTCCTCTGCGTGAATATGTTGGCTTGCTTGGGGTGAAATGATTTTAAAAATAACAATATTTTTAAGTTGTTCAGAAAGTAATGCAGGTTTTTAACCATTATTTTTAAATATGACAGGCCTTATACCAGAGGTATTTTATTAACCAAAATAAGAGTCGACACAAGGTGTCGTTATTCCACTAACAGAGAAGTTAGAAGTTTGGAAGACTAACAAAATCTTCGAAGGCATTCTGGACAGCAATAGAATCGTCGATAACTTTTCATTCTAAGAAGTTTGTCTAAATGTTTGAAAAAAATTGTAATCAGATGGTGAGAGTTCAGGTGAATCAGTTGGATGAGGCAGTGTTTCATTGCCCAAATTCATTCAATTTCTGTAGCGTTCGTTCTGTAACATATGGCTGAGCATTTTCGTGCAAAAGAATTGGACCTTTTAGCTGACTTGTGCTGCACACAGACGCTGCAATTTCTGATGGATTCGAGCGATTTCTTAGCAATATTTCTTAACTGAAATTGTTTTTCACTGCAGTGAAGCCATGAAACTTTAGACAATCAAACATTCAGCATGACCTTCTTTTGGGGCTTAAACGACTATATCATGATGAAACACCGGTTCTCGTACAATCACCGAAGTTAGGCAACGTCGCGCCTGATCAGTACCTAGATGGGTGACCGTATAGAAATACCAAGTGCCGTAAGTTTCGATGTGAAGGTGGGCTAAGGGTTATCGGGTCGAGATTGGAAATCAGTGAGCCATTCCAGTTTGGTTTGTTATATTCATATCATATTAGGAGGCACGGTGGAGTAATGGATAGCGGCTCGGAATGAGGAATCAGAGAGTCGAGTTCGATTTCCAGTCGAATCCATTACATTCACTTACGTGCTAATGCCCTTGGGAAAGGTATTAATCCTCCTCTTCTCCTTCCAGCTATGGGTAAATAGCAGGACAGACCGGGTTCTATAGACTTGGATGGCAACTTGTCTACCGTAGAAAGAAATAGCAACCTACTGCGGAAAAAATCTGCCTCGGCAGTCATGTATCGAAAGATACATGATCGCATAAGCGTATATCACGCATGGCACGTAACTGAATCGGAGAGCCAAGTTTGATTTCCAGTCGAATCCATTACATTCATTTACGTGCTAATAACCTTGGAAAAGCTATGAATCCTCCTCTTCTCCTTCCAGCTATGAGTAAATAGCAGGACAGACCGGGTTCTATAGCGTTTGATGGCAACTGGTCTACTGAAGAAAGAAATGGCATCTTACTGCGGACAAAAAATCTGCCTCGTCAGTCATGCATCGAAAGATACATGATCGCATAAGCGTATATCACGCATAGTAACTGATTGTATATTCAATAAACTGTCATTATGTATCATTAAACTGCCATTACTCTGTTGGAACTCTACAGATGACACACATACCATAACTATTTGTTTGAATGCCCGCCTGAGTTAAACGGCGCTTCGGCCAGGATTCACATTCGCGTATCAGTTCTTGGACACGATGTGTGTTATCGCGTTAATAGAATAATGAATTTTATGTTTGTTGTTCATGATGACGGTCGTCTTTGAGTATAGAATCCAGAGGATATCCCGGTAAAAGTAACAGAGCGTAGTTCTTCCTTCTGTTCCTCTTCGCCTGACAAGCTGTCACTGGACATTCGTATAGAGTAAACAAAATGGCCGCCTTTATACACGACGGGTTGAATATTTTACGTCTTCTGATTTGTTAAGCTTCTATTGGTCAACTATAAAGTGAGTCAAGTCATTTTGACTTGCTCACTAGTAAACATATATACACAAAAAACTGCACCCCCCTCATTTTTGGGTATATTATGGAATCTTCTTTCAAAATATTAGTAAAGTCAATATTAATATGGAACAAATACTTTAGTATTCCGAATTTTTTTTTTAGCATTCATAAAATAAATTTTATTTTTATTTTTTTTGTTTATTTTTTTTAATTTTTTTAAAATTATTTTTTATTTATTTATTTTGTTTAAGAAAATTAATATCCCCTTGTTTTTAATATCATAATTCCTAGTCTGATAGGTTTGAGGGACTGGTTTTCTGAATTTTTTAAATGACATTCTCAGTTGCATTACGTTATTGCCTTGATTTTGGGGTGTACACATTTTTTCAGTTTCTTCATAACTACGTAACGCAATTTTAAACTCAGTGAAAGTTAATTTTTTTTTATCTTTTTGAGTTATGACTGTCATGAATGGTTTGAATATCGGTGGTAAACCCTTTAAGACCATGGCTATTAGCAGCCCATCTGAGATAGTCTCACTTGCCATTTTTAAGGCATTTGTGACATTCTCAGCTCGTATAATATAATCTGTTACAGATTCATTTTCTCGTCTCTTTAACGCGGTTAGTTCAGTATATAAAGCAATAATTTTAGGCTTACCTTTTGACAAGTAGTGTTCACGCAAAATTTGTAGAGCTCGCCGTCCATTGTCCTTGGCCTCTCTCATTATCAAAGACAAACTCCTGTCATCCAGGAATTGTATTAATTCAGCGAACACGTTTTCATTTTTTTCCATAAAATCATCATCCCCCTTCTGGTCCTCTTCGCAAAGGATGATGTCATGGAGCTTTTGTATTCTGAGGTAGCCTAAGAATTTGGATTCCCACAATTCATATCTCGATTCATTCCCGTCAAAATATAGTCGTGGTCTGGGCTCATAACCAATGTTGTTCATGATGACGGTCGTCTTTGAGTATAGAATCCAGAGGTTAGCAGTGAATATTTCGAAGACAGTAGGGAAGCGTTGTTCAGGTTAGCAGTGGATATCCCGGTAAAAGTAGCAGAGCGTAGTTCGTCTTTCTGTTCCTCTTCGCCTGACAAGCTGGTACTGGACATTCGGATAGAGTAAACAAAATGGCCGCCTTTATACACGACGGATTGAATATTCTACGTCTTCTGATTGGTTAACCTTCTATTGGTGGACTATAAAGTGATTCAAGTCATTTTGACTTGCTCACTAGTAAACATATATACACAAAAAACTGCAACAATGTTTCTGTTTTATTATCTTATATTAATTTCTACTTTACTATGCCAAATATATTCGCCAAGCACTTGGGAATGGTATGAATCCTCTTCTTCCCCCAGCTATGGGTAAATAGCAGAATAGATCGGGTTCTATAGCCTTGGATGGAACTGGTCTACCGCAGAAAGAAATGGCGACCTACTGCGGGGAAAATCCGCCTTGTCAGTTATGTATCAAAAGATACATGATCGCCTAAGCGTGTATCACGCATGGCACATAACTGACTGATATTAACTTCCGCGCAATTACCTTTGGTAAAGGTATGAATCCACCTGATTTTGGTGGGACTTCTATATTGTGAAGAGTTTAAAGAGTTTTCTTTCGATTCAACCATTGCCCTGAACATCGTCGTAAGATCGATTTCTCATCACATAGCACAAGGTGATCGAGAAATGAATTATTTTTGTTGCGCAAATGATTAGACTTCATAACGACGTTTCTTTTCGGTTTTATTCTGTTTGTGTGGTACCCATTTGTCCACCTTCTCAGACTTACCAGTTTTGTCGAGAAATTGTTCCCATACTTTTATTTCGCTCTTTGGCAAGCTCTTTGAACAGCGGCGCAACGACTTTCCCCCACTAATGTTTTCAATTTATCACCTTCAGTGGAAGACTGACATCCATGACCTTTCTTATCTTCAAAGCTGGCATCACCTCGACGAAATTTCTGAATCCGACGTTGCACTCTACATTAATTAACAGCTCTCCTTCTCACCAAACTTTATTAATCTTTCCAAAAGACTGGGCTTCACTATGGCCAAGATAATATTCCTAAAAGTAAATTTGTCAAAATTCTTTCTTTTTTTTTTTTTTTTTTTTTTTGTAACATCTCAGGTCTGAAAAAATACATATGCAGTAAATGAAAAAAAAAGGAATGGTTATCAGTCTATGTTTTAAAGTTCCACTTTCCAAATATCATGATAATTTTTCTAAGCGTTGCACAAGACCGAAATTACGGGGCACCCAGTGAGGATCAAATTCTCTACACTGTCGTAACTGTTCTAACAAGACAAGCTTGCAAACCATTACACAACGTGCTCCATGATTTTCTAAGGGTAGCTTAAATGTGGCACAGGGCCGAATGTATGAGGTACCTAGTGAGCATCAAACTCATTGCTCCCTCGTAACTGAGCTAGCGAGACGAGCTTAATAACCATTAAACCACGTCGAGGTGCCCGATTATTTTCTAAGCGTAGCTTAGATGTGGCACAAGGCCTAAAGTATGTGAGGCTCGAACTCACTACTCAGTCGTAATTGTTCTAGCGAGACAAGTTTGTTAACCATTGCACCACGTCGAGGTACCCCACTTTCCGAATATTATGTTATATATTTTGTACGAATAGCCAGTGTTTATTTAATGTCTCGCTGTGATTTGACTGTAATTACCTGAGATTACAACTGATTTCTTTTCAGATGATGCGGAACATTTTCATGAAATGTTTCAACACGTTCAGATCCGACAACGAGGCCAAACTAGCGGAATCAGAAGCCCTCAAGAATATGAAGTTCAGTCCCAGACTCTTTGAGATTAAACTCTTTCAGAGGCACGAGAGTGTGGCCTACTATTCCGACCCGGATATCTTCATTTTGGCAGAAGGTGATGCAGCCAGATGTTATAATTTCAGCACAGGTTAGTCATTTTTCATTTTGTCCGATTCAAAGGCACATTTGGAAGTCGGCAAGGTCTCTTGGATAATGACGATCTGACATTTGTATTGACATACATCGATATAATTTATTAAAATCAACATCAGAGTGTGGTCGTAGGGTCGAAGCGCAGCTGAGCATCTGGCCAATCCCCTTCACGTGTCGGGGCTATTCATACACGCGTAGCGTGTATTAAGCAAGAAGACCTAGCGGAGACCATCCATCCTCAAAGTGAAACCACAGCCAATGTCCTCTGACTCGGAAGGGAACATTTCATCACCGCCAACTCAACACCGCCGACTCAGCACCGACGACTTACCACCGAACAACCGGTGTTGGCTATCATAGTGTGCAGATCTCTTAAACCAGCTTTGAGTCGTAGACATTTTGAAAGTTTGGCTGTTTGTCTTAGTGATTTATAAATTAGAACAGCCTATTTGGCTGACTAGTGTTTAATGTTCAAACTTTTCATCACACCCATAAATGAAATTCTTAGTCAAAGTGGAAAAGAAAAATTTGCAGAAAGATCTCCAACTGAATGCTTGAAGGGAATTGCATACAATTCTCATTAAATTTTTAAATTAAAAATAGTCATGTATTAAAAATGATCCTTAATAAATTACTTTAATTCGGTTTTCAAAAGTTGTTTTAAAAAGGATCCTAAAGAAATTACTTTTATTTGGTTTTAAGAAGTTATCTTTTAAAAATTATTCTTAATAAATTACTTTTATTCGGTTATGTTTTAAAAATAGACCATAATAAGTTACTTTTATTTGGTTTTAAAAAGTCGACGAAAAGATTTCATAGTTTCCATGTCGTTGAGTCGGCGGTGTTGAGTCGGCGGTGATGAGTTGTCCTGCACCCTGTCCAACTTGTTCACTTGGCTGTTGATTCCATCAGCGAAATCTGGCTGTTAAATTTAGTCTAGGTCACCAAGTCATGACATCACTGCACTGACTGTATATCTAACCATAGAGCCGCGAATATCAGGTATATAAATGTATAGAATTTACCATGGCCATAAAGTGGGGGTTCAGCTTATATATTGATTGTTATACAGAATGTATCCCCTATTTTGTAACCACATTACGATTTCGTGTTTGTTTATCAAATTCTGATTAGTATCCACTTTTTTCCTCTTGTGCTAAATTAGTAAGATTTGTATCACTAAACTACTAATATCTAAAAAAAAAATCTTACAATCTAAATAATATTTTCTAGCTTTAAATAGCCTGCAAAGGGTTGATAAGCCGTAAGAAATGAATGAATCAATTACATTGCAACTTCAATCGATTTCTTATCAGAGATATGTATAATTTTGTGACGTTCCACAGACTTACGAACGTATTCTATCATCTCACGACTTCAAATCCAATAGTCACTTATTTTAAAAAAAATAACTTCATAATTATATTCAACAAAGTAAGTTCAATTTAGCCGCACGCTGTCGAACCAATTCAAAGACTTCAGTCGATTGCAATTTTTATTTGTTGTTGCTTTTTTTAATTCTGTCCTTTAGAAGTGAGACGGTATAGAATCTGTTTTGATCTTCAAAGATACTTGATTGCCTATCAAAATGTTATCATAATGTCGACCTTTCAAGCAAAACAAATGAAGCATGAGTCAAACATTGAAACTAGGTGGCGAATCCATTTTGAACATTTATAAATCTACCATTCGTCAGTATATTGAACACTGCTGCCATATCTTGGTCTGGTGCAGCTATTATATATTTAAAGATTTTCGACAAAATACAAAGAAAGGTGTTGTTCCTAATCTGGCATCTCGACTTCAGTCACTTTCCCAATACTCTTCCTTCTGTCTTTTCTACAAATATTTTCATGTCAACTCTTCTTTTTACCTTAGTGACACGACAACATGAATTTAAGTCAGCAAATAAATCTCACCGTTTTACTTCTGAACTAGCTAGATGCAACCACCAGTTCTATTCTAACAGTTACTTTCCCCAAACTTCTCACCTGGGAGAGTCCCTACCGATTTCTTGCCTCCCTGCCAACTGCAATCTTAAAATAAATGAATGCAACGCCAATAGCCATCTTCTATCTTCCCGAACCCTGTCCCTTTATTGCCCTTTCTTCTCTTCTCCTCACTAAAGTCTTCTCATTCTCTTTCACTCCCTGTAACCTCCTGCGTTCTAGTGGTATTATCGCCTTGCTTGGAATGAAATTATTAAAAAAAGATTAATTCGTCTCGTGAAGGTGTGAAATGGCTACATTGTTTCCAAAACTGAATATGTTTGTTTATTTAAAAACTTAACGACCCATCGATCAGCAAGAGATCATTTAAGGTCAAACAGTTGTTTTTGTTTTTTTCTTTTTCTGTAAATAAGGTTGAAATGCTTTCAAGAAGACTTTCCCTTTCCTTTCCTTCTTTTTCGATGTTGTCTTGCTTTACTTTTTTTTTTTTAAAATTCACTGTTTTCGGATTGTCACAAATGAGATGTAAAGTACTAGGGAAAATAAAAACTATTTGAAAGATAATGTTGGTATTTTTCTTAATCAATTTTCTAAGGCAACCAAAAAATTAATCCGCGACCTGGAAAGGATCACAACGAAAACTAATCGACATGATATGTCTAAATTATTTAATCAAACCTGTTTGAATATATATATATATAGTCGACTCTCCCGTCGAATTCGATGTATGAGGGTCAAGCAGATCAGTTTCCAGGAAACCGACTGCCCGACACCAGCACATGAGATTTGATTATAGTGGTGAAGGCCTCGTGCAGGACCATCCACACTTTTTGAAGGGACGAATACAGAGACCTGGTGCACCAAATGCCACAAGGTTCCCAAACGACACGCCGCAGGTTTTGAATTCAGAGTTGTCCTTCTCCTAGACCAGTTGCTATCCAAGGCTATAGAACCCAGTCTCTCCTGCTATTTTACCCATAGCTGGAGGGAAGAAGAGAATTCATACCTTTCCCAAGAGTATTAGCACGTAAGTAAATGTAATGGATTCGACTGGAATTCGAACTCAGCTCTGCGATTCCACAATCCAAGCCGCTATCCATTACTCCACCGTGCCTTCTCTCTCTCTCTGTCTCTCTCTCTCTCTCTCTCTCTCTCTCTATATATATATATATATATATATATATATATATATATATATATATATATATATATATATATCTAAAGAGTCAGAGTAACCTACCTAGGAACCATCTAAACGGTTCTTCAGGGTAAGCTGGAAGATCCGTTTAGCTGAAACCTAGGTTGGTTACTTTGGCTCTTTGGATTTATTATATATATATATATATATATAGTGAGCCAGACAACCCTATCCAGGTTTCACCTAAGCGGATCGTCAGGGAAAGCTTTCCTGACGATCCCTAGGGTAGGTTTGTCTGTCTCACTAGGTTTATCTAGATCTGCTCTACGGTTGTATCGAGCTCTTTTTTTAGTTGTTTACTCGTATCGGTTGTTTTTTCTTTGGGCTTCAAACCTGTATCTGTGCGATTTTTTTCGACAGACTTTCATGTTTCTAGCTCTTTCTTTTTTTAAAACCTTTTTTTCCCTCGAGATTGATTTGATTATTGGCAAATCAAAAATTCGAGGGTTTTCCGAAACGAGTATAGTTACTTTATTATAATTATATATATATATATATATATATATATATATATATATATATATATATGGAGAGAGCCTTTTTGTAAACATGTTTCGTCGAATAAAAAAAGCAAAATTTGATTAATTTTTTATATAGTTTTCCAACATTCTAACATTTTCCCGTTTCGTGGCAGGAAAGGAGTGCAAAAATTGTATTGTCCATTGACCCGAGCGCTTTCGAAAATTTCTGTAGCTATTTTCAAAGGCGGGTGTCTTTTTAGGTGTTGTTAATTTCTTTTCATGTTTGATTCTTTAAAATCTATTTTTTCTCCTGTATGAATACTAGTTTATTTAAAAAAAACCTTTCAACCCACTTGGTCAAGAGGGTGGCTGCTGGAAGATCCTATGCCTGGCAACAAGGTTTTGTACCATGCCAGACAAGCAGGAGAAGCCAGTCATGACTGTCAATTAATTTCTACAACCACATCAACCCCTTACATCTAGCTATCTTACTCCCTAGACTGCAACCCCCTTGATTATTGTGTGGGGGGCTCAGTTGAGAGAAAGACCAACAAAACTCCTTGTAACACCAAAGATGAACTGAAGGCAAGGATTATGGGAGAATTCACCGACTTAAACAAGGAGACCATCCAGAAGTGATGCAGGAGATTCTGAAGTCGTCTTGAGGCCATCGTTGAAGCCAATGGCGATTTTATTGAATAAATTTACTCTTTCGTATTTCAAGTAATTTTGGTAAATAGATATGTTAAAACGAGATGTCAGTGTTATTTTTATTTTTGCATAATTTAGACGAGAATTTATTAATTGCACCCTGTATATACAAGCTACTGCTATTTGGAATCGTATGAATCCATCTTATATCTTATATATCTTATATCATATAGAGCAAATAGATAGATAGATAGATAGATAGATATGAACAGAATGAGATAGATAGATAGATAGATAGATAGATAGATAGATAGATAGATAGATAGATAGATAGATAGGAACAGACTGAATATAGATAAATAACAGAGAGAGACAGGTGGGAAGTGTTCAGAAAGTAATTACGTTTTATCAGAGAAGATGCAAAGATAAATGGAAATTCTTTAAAATATTATCTATGAAGAACGTGATCACCTTTTCAACAACTGCTTATAAACGAGATGGCAGATTTTCGATTCCACGTCTAATTTCATCGTCTTTTCATTTATTTTCTCTTACTTTTCTTCCACTTATACCGCGCTACATGTCTTCTTCAGCTGCTCGGCTTATCATGTGCTTTGTTGTATTCTCCAACATGCTTTAGATGTCTGCCTGCTATTCAGAACAGCATTATTACCATGATAGACTGAAAAAGGTGCGGTTGTTGCACACTTCATCCTTCTTCAGGTGTCTGTCTTAACTGGTTTGCTATTCAGACCAACTTCCTTACCATGATAGACTCACAAAGTTTCGATTGTTGTACACTACAACCTTCTTCAGATATCTGTCTATCTGCTTTGCTATTCAGACCAGATTCCTTACCATGATAGACTCACAAAGCTTCGATTGTTGAACACCAACCTTCTTCAGGTGTCTGTAGTATCTGCTTTGCTATTCCGACCAGCTTCCTCATCATGATAGACTCACAAAGCTTCGATTGCTGTACACTACAACATTCTTCAGTGTCTCTCTTATCTGCTTTGCTATTCCGGCCAGCTTTCTTACCATGATAGACTCACAAAGCTTCGATTCACAACCTTCTTCGGATATCTATCTTATTATAAGTCTTGCTATTTAATCTAGCATGCTCGAATTGATCGCTATTCTCACAATGTTTTGGATTCTTACTCGCCGGCCTTCATTAGGTGTTTGTATGTCTGCTTTCATATTCGTCTTATCATGTTCACCTTGCTATTAGCTACGTGGTCGTTTTCTGATGTTGTGAAGTCGTTTTGTATTGACGAACTAAAATTAAATTGAATTGACTCACAAAATAAATGAAATTAAAGATTCAAACAAAATGAGATATAAATTATCTTTATATCGTGAACATTTTCATGTAGAGATGATTTCCGGAACAGTTCCTGTAAGAAAGTGCCAATTCAAATAATATTCTTAAATATGTTTCTGAAAAATGGAAAACAATTTAAACTTACTCTGTTGAGGGATTCAGTAGTGAGTGAGGAGTGTTGTCTGTGCTATGTACGTCTATTGCACGGAGCGCTAATTTTAGCGTCCTATCCCGATCTCGACCTGAAGTGAAAAAGAGAGAATTATTATATTTCGGTTAATAACACGCATAGCTCCATCTTTCCTACGCATGCTCAGAGGCTGATAAAGGGATATTACTGCTTATTGGGATATCAATGCATGCGTGTCTCGCAAAATGTTTTAATGTCTGCTACACACATCTTGGTTATTATACCCACAATGTTTTAGCTGTTGTATCCAAAGTCCTTCTTCGGGTATCTGTTTCGTTATATACATTGCTATTCGATAAACAACTTGGTCGTTTTAACCAGAACGTTTCGGCTTTTATTCTCCGCCCTTCTTCAGGCATCTTAAGAACCAACTTGGAATTTTGACCCAAATTTGAAACAATTTGATGATCATAACAAATCTGTTAGTGTTAAACTGGATGAGTATGGCGAACGTGGAAAAGTTTCCCTTTCTTTATCAATGCAGGATACTTTCGAAGTAATATATTGTATACCTGATCAAGTTGATGACAACAAACATGTGTAATGATCATCCTTCTATGCTCCAGGAGCTCGTAATGGACGACACCATGCATGTTCCACCAGACACAAAGCAAGGACTTCTCCGAATGGAGTTCCGCTTTTAATGTTAGCACTGGTTTTGTGATAACCATTGTCTTTTTCGATTTTCTGACGAAATGAACAATGCGATGTGATGTGATACAAAAATAAAATGATGACATTCCTGATTAAAAGAACGATATAAAAAAGTGTTATTTTGTTTTCTCCAGCGAAAGCTCATGAGAAGCGCAAATTCTTTCTTTGTAGGTTTTCTCACTTAAACTACTGGAAAGATGGTAAACCAATTCTTGACACAATTCCCTGCCATTTAACTTCGATTCTGCTTTCGTTGGTTGACTCATAATTCACAACGGCGAAAAAGCAATTATATTCAAATAATCTAATAAAAGAATGGAAACCATTCTTGTTAATTCCCTACCATTAACTTCGATTCTGCTTTCGTTGGTTGACTCATAATTCATAACTGCGAAAACAGAATTATATTCAAATAATCTAATAAAAGAGATGGTAAACCAATTCTTGACACATTCCCTGCCATTTAACTTCGATTCTGCTTTCGTTGGTTGACTCATAATTCATAACGGCGAAAAAATTATATTCAAATAATCTAATAAAAGAGATGGTAAACAAATTCTTGACAAATTCCCTGCCATTTATTCGATTCTGCTTTCGTTGGTTGACTCATAATTCATATGCTAAAGGCATTATATTCCAAATAATCTAATAAAATAGATGGTAAACCAATTCTTGACCAATTACCTGCCATTTAACCGATTCTGCTTTCGTTGGTTGACTCATAATTCGCAACGGCGAAAGGCAGAATTATATTCAAATAATCTTAAAGATATGGTAAACCAATTCTTGATTTTTGCCATTTAACTTCGATTCTTTTCGTTGGTTGACTCGCAATTCCTTAACGTTGAGATGGTAAGCTTTTCTTTGTAATAATTCGAACGAAAGGCAGAATTATATTCAAATAATCTAATAAAATAGATGGTAAACCAATTACTTGACACAATTCCTGCCATTTAACTTCGATTCTGCTTTCGTTGGTTGACTCATAAATCGGCTAAAAGGCATTAATTCAAATAATCTAATAAAATAGATGGTAAACCAATTCTTGACCCAATTCCCATTTAACTTCGATTCTGCTTTCGTTGGTTGACTCATTTCATAACGGCTAAAAGGCAGAATTATATTCCAAATAATCTAATAAAAAAGATGGTAAACCAATTTCTTGACACAATTCCCTGCTTTCGTTGGTTGACTCATTTAACTTCGATTCTAAGCTCAATTCTAAAAAAGAGATGCTTTCGTTGGTTGACTTCAAATAATCTAATAAAGAGATGGTATTTCTTGATAATTCCCTGCCAAAACTTCGATTCTGCTTTCGTTGGTTGACTCATAATTCAAACAGCTAAAGGCAAATTATATTCAAATAACCTAATAAAAGAGATGGTAAACTAATTCTTGACACAATTCCCTGCCATTTAACTTCGATTCTGCTTTCGTTGGTTGACTCATAATTCATAACGCAAAAGCAGAATTATATTCAAATAATCTAATAAAAGAGATGGTAAACCAATTCTTGACCCAATTCCCTGCCATTTAACTTCGTTGGTTGATTCTGCTTTCAAATAATTGGTTTCCTTGACACAATTCCCTGACTCATAATTCATAATTCATAACGAAAAGGCAGAATTATATTCAAATAATCTAATAAAGAGATGGTAAACCAATTCTTGAAATTCCTGCCATTTAACTTCGATTCTGCTTTCGTTGGTTGACTCATAATTCATAACGGCGAAAAGGCCAGAAGCTATATTCAAATAATCTAATAAAGAGATGGTAAACTAATTCTTGACTGCCATTTAACCGATTCTGCTTTCGTTGGTTGACTCATAATTCCCAACGGTTGATATTCCAAATCAATAAAAGATTCTAATTCCTTAAACTTCGATTCTGCTTTCGTTGGCAGAATTCATATTATATTCAAATAATCTAATAAAAGAGATAAACTAATTCTTACCCCTTTGTTTTAACTTCGATTCGGCTTTCGTTGATTATCATAATTCATAACGGCGAAAGGCATTATATTCAAATAATCTAATAAAGAGATGGTAAACCAATTCTTGACTTCCCTGCCATTTAAGTTCGATTCTGCTTTCGTTGGTTGACTCATAATTCATAACGGCGAAAGGCAGAATTATATTCCAAATAATCTAATAAAATTGGTAAATTCTTGACACAATTCCTGCCATTTAACTGATTCTGCTTTCGTTGGTTGAATCATAATTCATAACGGCGAAAGGCAAATTATATTCAAATAATCTAATAAAGAATGGTAAACTAATTCTTGTAATTCCCTGCCATTTAAATTCTGCTTTCGTTGGTTGACTCATGGTCATAACGGCTAAAAGGCAGAATTATATTCCAAATAATCTAATAAAAGAGATGGTAAACTAATTCTTGACACAATTCCCTGCCATTTAACTTCGATTCTGCTTTCGTTGGTTGACTCATAATTCATAACGGCGAAAGGCAGAATTATATTCCAAATAATCTAATAAAAGAGATGGTAAACTAATTCTTGACACAATTCCCTGCCATTTAACTTCGATTCTGCTTTCGTTGGTTGACTCATAATTCATAACGGCGAAAGGCAGAATTATATTCAAATAATCCAATAAAAAAGATGGTAAACTAATTCTTGATTCCCTGCCATTTAATTCGATTCTGCTTTCGTTGGTTGACTCATAATTCATAACGGCGAAAGGCAGAATTATATTCAAATAATCTAATAAAAGAGATGGTAATTCTTATTCCCTGCCATTTAACTGATTCTGCTTTCGTTGGTTGACACATCATGTGGTAAACTAATTCTTGACATTTAATTATTCTGCTTTCTTGGTTGACTCATAATTCACAGAAATTATATTCAAATAATCTAATAAAATAGATGGTAAAATTCTTGACGCAATTCCCTCCTTCTGCTTTCGTTGGTTGACTCATAATTCATAACGGCGAAAAGGCAGCCAATATTCTAATTCTTGAAAAATTCCTGCCATTTAACAGGGTTGGAAGCATTCAATAACGGCGAAAGGCAGAATTATATTCAAATAATCTAATAAAAGAGATGGTAAACTAATTCAACACGTAAATTCCTACCATTCAAGATTGTTTCTATCTTGATTGTTTGATTCCTTATTCATAGCGGTGAAATATGTAATTATTCACTGTCAGATCCAAGAGATTATAAAGTAATACTTGACGCAATTTCCTACTGTTCAACTTGTATTCTGCTTTTATTCGTTAAGCACTTGAGAAACTCAACACTGAGTCTGTCTGAAATGTAATGGAAAATAGGTTAGGTTTAAAAACGTCGATGTCCAGGCCTCAAATGAAAACTTTGAAAGGATTAAAAGTCATTCCCTTTGCTTTCTAGACATAAGCAATATCATACTGATCAATTTAATCATTGCATGGCCGGGGGCTTCCGTCCACATCATGTTGAAACGCCGGCTTCTGTACGATCACCGAAGTTAAGCAACAGCAAGCCTATTTAGTACCTAGATGGGTGACCGCTTTCGAATATCAGGGATATAAATGTATAGAAACTACCGTGACCATAAAGTGGGGTTTCAGTTTATATATTGATCATTATACAGAATTGATCTCCCGTTTTATAAAGCGGTGGAGAACTTGGAGAGGTGAATTAACAGGAATTAACTGATAACTGACATCCATTAGACATGGCACGTGGAACTAGAACAGTCTACCCCAGCGAGCGAAATAAAGGGTTGTTAAACGTTGTGATAGATATGGCAACAAAGATGAGGATGATAGTCCGAGCAATGTAAATAGTGTACATAATACCTCATCTCAGAAATAGAGACTGAGACTTTTATTATATGTTATTTTCAAAAAAAGTTGTTTACAAGTGTATGTACCTCCAAATGTTATCATTTTCGCGTTTTATTCAATAGGCTTTTATACTTTTCACTTGGCAAAATATATTTCTTGTAGATGTCAGCAGTGTATACGGAATGCAATGTTGATTTTAAAAGTCCGTTGCATTGTAAGTCGTTTACATATGTCATAGGCTAAGTTTCAATAAGAAGAAATAAAGAAAATGGTTGTAAATGTTTTAGGACATGTTGATATTTATTTGAGAAATATATTTGGAGGAATAATATTTTTTCCAAGAAGACAGGCATCGTTCTAGCATGTTTCGAGTTTGAATTACAAACTCGTGCATACGAGACGCTGGAAGCGAAAATCGCACAGCGGCTCATGACGTAACACATGATTGTGTATTGTTCGATATATTGTATTTGTCATCTTTGATGATGGCTAATGTAAGCCGAAAGCTTAAATAGGATTAAAAAACGCATCAATATGGTGATTTTCTTTCGTCTTTCAATGATAATGTTATTAAGCTTACCAGACGATATGAAAGAAATTTCCATAAAATAAATAGACAAAACGTGTCTATATTATTTAATGAAACATGCATCAATAAATATATATATATATATATATATATATATATATATATATATATAGTCATCCACAGACAGACTGTTTCGCTGTATCACAGCTCAACAATGTGGCTAGACGTCCGGTTGCCTCTAACCAGGATCGAAACCCGACTGAATTGGCGTCAGTTGGAGATTCTACCACTAATCTGTTGGTGCACGGCAGGGATGAAGGTGAATTTAAGTGTATTTATTTTTAGATAAACACACAGTGACTGAGAGAACTCAATTCAATTCAACGAAGAGTCTTGCATTATTAGCCGTAATAGTCACTGTTTGCAAACCCACACTTACAACATTCATTCTAAGAGATATCAAAGTAAGCTTTGTAATCGGTATCACATTAAAATGTCAAAAATGCTAGTACCTCATAGTGTTTACTTAGAAGATAACCTCGGAAACTCCAAATGCTGAATCGGGCCTTAAAAGATGATAGATACAATAAACATAAACAAGAAAGCGAAAACTGCAGAGTTTAGGATATACACACGCGCGACAACCGGATGATCTGAAGTTATATAAACGCCCGATCACCTTGCGAGAAAAAGATCGAAATAATTCTCCAGAAACCATATACCCTCGAAGATCGACGTTAATTTAACGGCCTCCCGAAGTGTATAAAGAATTACGTTAGTGTGAAAGATTTAGTTTCAAATTTTTAGATGATACTAATATAGCAATGAGAAAGATGGAGACAGGTGCAAAGAAAGTTGAAGAAATGAGAAATTGCTTACACCTGGAGAAGTTTGCGGACGTTAACATTAAAAAGATAAAACAAAACTAACAAACTCCATCAGAAAATAAAATATTAGCACCTCCGTTTTTCTTGCTGTTTTGATAGATTGCCCGTGTGATGTTTTTATCAAACCTTCATACTACAACTGTCATACATTTATTAAAATTATAAAACATATATATATATATTAAAATTATAAAACATATGAATATAGTTGTCTGTATATATATATATATATATATATATATATATATATATATATATACAGATAACTCAAAAAGTATTGGAACAGCAAGGCCAATTCGTTTGTTTTTGTTTTTCTGTGAAGATATTTAGATTCAATATTCAAAACATAGATTAGAGATATGAGTTCATAATTTCAGCTTTTATTTCCGCGTATTTACATTTAGATGTATAGAACATCTTAGGATATATATATATATATATATATATATATATATATATATATATATATATATATATATATATATAAGAAAAGAACAGCAAGATATATAATCCAGTGTTCTTATTAATATTTTGATATTTTTTTTACAAATCAGTGCTCAATGCAAATCTACAGAGCATAAATATTACAAATTTGCTAATTTAAAAATATGGTTCCATCGCTACACAGGAATTACCATGTTTCAAAAACAGAAGCTAAAAACTTCAGATTCAATTACAGAATTAAATTAAAGTCCCTAATCCTGCTTCATTTTCAACCGAATTTTGGGATAACATATTTTGAAATTTATTAAGTTTTATAAGTACAAACATTCGTAATATTAGTTTCTATGGATATGGGGAAATCCAATCATTTTAACAAGCATCGGTAGATTATTCATTTTCACTTACAACTATTGTACCAAAATATGAGTTACTTTCGGAAAGAGGTTAAGTCAAGGTAGGGTAGGGGTGCCTTTTCAACGAATGATGGCATCCGTTTAACGCATGTCGTCTGGTCTTTTTCAACGACAAAACGTTTTTCGGCACTTCTGTTTCGTAGTTAAATTTTTACTTGTATGCATAAAGATTTTTTTTCTAAAAGATCTGTTTGTATATGAATGCATCGTATTATACTACAATTTTAAAATATTATTCTTAATTTTATTTACTAATAGACTATACATCTTTTGAAATAAATAAATGCAATAGAATTTCTTTAATTATTTAAAAATCATTATTAAATATCAAATATAAATGTGTATTTTTCATTTATCAGATTTTTTTGTGTTTTTTTTAATTAAACATTAAGGAAAAATTTTGACAGTGTCGGCAAAGAATAGCTATTTCGTTTCTTTAAGTAAATTTTTATAAACCTGGTAATATATAGTTTTTCATGTATGCACAAAGGACATGGGCCATTTAATGACCTACATATTGTAGCTTTTTTTTAATTAATTTCCATTTCACACTATGTGTTTTATTGATTTCTTTTAAGTGCCAGAAATATTTCGATAGGGACGTCCTATTTCGGTATTTATTTATCCTAAAAGAACTTTGATGTTGGTGAAACCGTTTTTTGAACTCATGTCTTTTGCATCTAATGTATACTTTTACATTGTTTGGATCCTCACTAGATGAGATATTTGTATTGGTATACTAATGATTCAGTGCAATATTTATTATTAAGAGGACAGTTTTGAGGATTTCTGCAGTTCCATAATTTTTGTTTATCTTCATCTCATTATTATTATAGTGTCTAATTTTTTTTGTTTTGGTCTATGTGTTTATTCAAGGTATAAGCATTATGTTTCTTAATAATTTTTTCTAAGTTTTCAGTACAGCTTTAACTTAATTTTAGGGTATTTTTATTGAAAATAGTATTGAGTTTACTATCTTTAAGAAAATGTTTAATGGCGTTCCTTCGGAGGATTGGCGCGATTGCGTCTCGATTAAGGGACGAGTCTCACGAAACAGAGTGGCTCTTGCAGCGTGTCTCACTCGCGATGGTTCGAGGTAATACTTTCTCCATTATTGCGGCTGGCAGAGGATAGAAAAAAATTTGTTTGTAGTTACTTTGTTCAAACTTTTTTTTTTCAGTAAATAAATTTCTCTTTGAATAAAAAAAATTTCAGATTTTAAAACAGCTAAGAGTAAAATGCAAGGATGTTTTTGTCCTGATTTGTTCTTTACCATCTGGTTGTAATGGGGGTGTATACCAAATTATTTTTCCACTTCTGTTTTTTTCTATACTTTCCATTTTCATATTTTCTCAATTGACACCTCCCTTCTTTTCTGTTTATTTTATATATATATATATATATATATATATATATATATATATATATATATATATTATATATACACATACATCTATATATATATATATATATATATATATATATATACTGATAAAAAAGAACGTTAAACATAAAAATGTCTTTAATAAATAAATTGTCGGACTTTGTCCATTTCTTAATATATGACATCATTTGTTTATATTTGATACGCCAGAGCAGTTATGAATGTACGAGATTCATGGAAGATTGAAGTTTATAAGCAGTAAATTCTACCTTGCCTACCGAACGCTCCTTTGTGGCCGAGTCGGTTAAGGCACGTCAGCGTAAATGACGGTTCCGTATAGGATGCAGGTTCGAATCCTGTCAAAGGACGAATATTTTCTATGAAAATTTCTCGGACATTCAGGCCGGTAAATGTTATTTAATACTGTTTAACAGTATTAAATAACATTAACAGAGCATTTACTTAAATACTTGTATCTATAAAAAAAGAACGTTAAACATAAAAATGTCTTTAATAAATACATATATATATATCTAAATACATATACATACATACACAAGCATATATATATATATATATATATATATATATATATATATATATATATATATATGTAAATAAAATTTCCAAGAGGATAGAATCCAGGTAGAACTTAATGTCTAGGACAGAGTAAGAATGTAATAAAAAAAGCTTAAACACTAATATTCCATGGTTATAATTTATTACATTGGAATGGTAATTACGATCCAATTAATCAGACTTACAAATTCAAAATAGATAGATAGATAGATATAATCTGTTTATATCTAACATTGTCCATATCTATCTGATATGGACAATGTTAGATATAAACAGATTTGTATATGTTTAGATAGATAGATAGATAGATATGGACAATGTTAGATATAAACAGATTTGTATATGCTTAGATAGATAGATAGATAGATAACTGCGACCTATTGACATAACCAAATTGTTGTATTCTTTATTTGTGATGCTTTTTCAGACTTTTAACACAACCTCTTTCAATTTTTGTTTGTTTCGGTGGGTTTCTTTCTTCAGTCTCCTTTTCAGATCA